CTTCTGTACTCTGTTGAACCCCAAAACTTGCCTAAACTGCTCAATTTTAATACCTTAGCTCACTCTAAATGATCTCATTTCAGCTCAGAGTTGGAAACTTGTTGCTATACCTTGCGAGGATGTTGCCACTTTGATTGTAGCTGAGTTTGAGGTCAGCACCAAGTGCATCTTTGCAGTAGGAATAAAAGGCTCTAAGAACTTCAAGGAACAGCTCCCCTACCACCTGTGGCCCTGCAGGGGGAGAAAAAGAAGAATCCAGGAGTTGTGAGGCATGGAAAGGCACAGCACTGGCTCTGCATGACACCTGAGTCACTGGGGGAAGGCACTCAGAATCATCTGAGGGGAAAGCTGCAGTTCATGTGGTAAAAATAATCACCACGTCTGTATCCCTAAAGAAAAGCAGCATATTTCCCAGGACACATTTGACAGAGAGACAGAAGCTGGAAAAATCAGCAAAGGGAGGAAGTTCAAATGCCTAAATATCTATAAAACTGCATATTTATAGACAGGTTTAAGTGTGAGTTAGGTGTGTGCTGACAACTGCACTTGGTTTTCAAGGGTTACTCCTTTATTTTCACTGGAATTGTCTGCAAAGGTGAAGAAATAATAAGTAAAATACCCTAAAGTTAGAATAATTAAACAAGGAGTGTATACATCATCCCAGCGAGTGCTATAAAAAGGAAACAAAAAGTTTAAGTGACTAAGAGCAGCACAAAAGATAAAAAATTTCCTGACATATTGTAGTTTGATGCCTTTCAGTAAATAGTTTCATTGCTAAATCCACTTCCAAAGGAAGTGAAAGTCTGAGTGGCTTAAAGAGTTACGTTTTGAGCACTGACTGGGACAGAAAGATTAAACTGGATAATGAACTTGAGCTAAATATTCCTTATTAGAAGGGATTTATTACCCCTTATTAGCAGTTCAGATTAACTCTGACTGTCAGGCAGCCAGGAAACACACACACTAAGGTACTGCCTGTCACCTCCTTCCTAAATGAGGTTAATCAATACTTTTATACAACAGCAATCAATACATTTATAATGTAAACAACCTGTACTTGGCATTTTTGTCAGGAAATAAAATGTTCTATAGCAGAAGCTTTAATGGCAATAGATTTTGTTTTTAGAACACCTAAAACCAGCAGGAGGAAATATTGGCACCACTTATAAACAGACCAAGAACTGCTTCTCCTGAGGGAAAATTGATTTGGTAGATAGTAAATAGAGAACCCTCATTTTTTCCTGGCAGTTGCTTTGATTGTTCTTTACCAGGAAATGTGCTTTAAAGGACTTTCCTGACCTTAAAATAAGGCCTGGCAAAGCCTCACCCTTCTGCTGCTGCAGCTTCACATACACACAAGGACAGGAAGGAGGGTTGTAGCAAACAAACTCCAAGGAACAAATTAAGTTACTGAGATTAGGGCAGAAGTAGCTCTTTTTAAGTGCCCCTCAGATAGCAGCTCAGAGCACAGACAATCACCAAGGCTGGAAGAGACCTTCAAGCTCATCCAGTCCCACCAGCAACACCATCATCACCCTTAAACCATGTCCCCAAGGGCCACATGCAGATGCCTCTGGGACACTCCCAGAGACACTGACTCCACCACCTCCCTGGGCAGCTCATCCCAAGGCCTGAACTTTCTTGCAGAGGAAAATTGTTTCTCTTATCTAATCTGAATCTCCTCTGGTGCAATTTACGGTCATTTCCTCTTCTCTTTCCCCTTGGGACATGGCAGAAGAGACCAACCCACACCTCACTGCAACCTCCTGGCAGGGAGTTGTAGGAGCAGTGAGCCTCCTCCTGAGCCTCCTCTTCTCCAGACTAAACACCCTCAGCTGCTCCTCATAGGACTTGTGTTCTAGACCCTTTCCCACCTCTGTCCCCTGCCCTGGGCACCTCCAGCCCCTGCATGTCTCTCCTGCAGAGAGGGCCCAGGACTGGTCCCAGCACACCTGGGGCCTGCCCAGTGCCAGCACAGGGGACAATCCCTGCCCTGAGCCTGTGGCCAAACTTGCTGATTGAAACCAGGTGCCATTGGCCTCTTGCTCACCTAGGCACACTGTGGCTCACTTCCAGCCACTATCACACAGCACCCCCAAGTCCTTTTCTGCTGAGAAGCTCTCAGGTCACTCTACTCCAGTCTGCAGCAATTCATGGGGTTATTGTGATCCCAAAACAGGCCACAGAAGAGCATTATCCTCCCTGGGATACATCCATACTACACAGTGCTCTGCAGAAGAGCCAGAGAGAACCTGGAGAGGGTGTTTGCTCCAGAGCACCATTCCAAACCAGCTCCAAGGCATGGAACACTCACACACCACACACAGACTCAGAACCAGGCAGGACTGTGCTGAGCCCCACACTGAGCTGTGACAGTGCTCAGCAGTACTAACAGCACTGAGAAACAACATTACCTATTTCAGGTTTGTCAAGGAGACTGATGAGGATCCTGAAGGGTTTTAGGTAGACCTGGTGCTGGTCCTCTGTGTCAGGCTCTGGGAATCTCTGATGCAAAATCACAACCAAACTCTAGCAGAAGGAACACATCACCATGTTACACACAGAAGAGAAATTGTAATTTCAATGAGACCTGAAGAGTTTCTAAATTTAGGTTAGTTTAGGGCCAACTACAAATGAACTTCAATTTTCCTTGCAGGGTAAATGAATCGATAACATCTTCTCATCATTTGTACTCAAGGGCTGATCTTCCCTTTGGTTTCCATAGATTCCATTTGTATTGTCAGCACATAAATATTGGGATAAATACAGCACAGAGAGATGATTGAGACAGAATGAGATAGAGGGAAACATAACCACCAAAGGATGTTTTCTCTAGGGACACAAACCCAAGGGCAAACCAAGTGGTTTGAATAATTCTAGATGCATTTTGGCCTAACATTTGATAGGAACATAAATGTATCTGTATACAACGAGCACCAACCTCAATCAGAAGATCTTTGGAGTATTTTCCAAAGAAATAAAGGGCATGGTCTTCAGAAGTGGAGTCTGGAGCAAAGGTGCCACCTTTAATGTCAGAGCCTACAGGAAAATAGAGGCAGCAGAAGCACAGTGAAACAACACAGAGCACTACACACAGGTCACTTACACTGAAATTAGACATTTCAACATTCTGCTTGAAGCTAACTGCCCAAGGACATCCCCCGTGTCCCAGTGTGAGGCATCCAGGTGTTCAGCACAGCACTTCAATCCACACCAAGGCCAGATCCAGCCATGAAAAGCCTTTATGCAGTTCCACAGCTGCAGCTCTTGCCCTGTCACTTTTAGCCTCCCCTTCTCTGTCAGAGGAGGCAGATGAGGAGAAGCTGTGGCTTTCTTACAGCCCATCCATGACAATTAAGTCCATGTGGGAATTATTAGGCTGTTACTTCCAGGAGGACAAGGTTAAAACAGTGCCTCACTCCCTTCAGTCTACTGAAGGGCTGTGGGTGGGACCAGAAATAACTCATCAGGTACTCTTGGGCTCAGCACAGTGCAATGAACTCACCTCTGAAGAAAAGACCTGTTTGCACAGGTACTTTATAAATGGCAAATAAACAGCACTTTCTTTTATCATTGCTCATTAACTGCTAAAATCAGTGCCTAAATTGCCCTTTTAGTACTGATTGTTTTGCTCTTAGGCCCTCAGAAGGTTGAATGTCACTGTATTTAGCACAGTACCTAGCAACCAGGCATACAATCTTCTGTTGAGGGACATGTCTCTCCTCAGCAGTGTCTGGGTAGCTGCTGCCAGGATATAGACCAAATCAGCTCTGTGCAGCAGAATTGTGCTCTCATTGCAGTCCTAGCAGGAAAAACAAATATGCTTCAGCTGGTTAGGAACACTGTTACTGAGTTAAATTGGAAATGAGGTGGGTTTTGTAACTGGGAATAGTAATGTTCTGGAATAAAGGCAACAAACCATCAACAACAAAATGTGTTGCATAATCAATGTGTCAAGGAAGGGAATCTGACACGACTGTGATCACAGAATAGTTTGGGTTGAGAGGGACCTTAAAGATTATCTAGTCCCATGGGCAGGGACACCTCCCACCAGCCCAGGCTGCTCCAAGTCCCATCCAGCCTGGCCTGGAACACTCCCAGGGATGGAGCAGCCACAGCTGCTCTGGGCAACCTGTGCCAGTGCCTCAGCACCTCACAGGGAGGAATTTCTTCACAATATCTAACCTAACCCTGCCCTCCTTCAGTTTAAGGCCATTCCCCCTTGTCCTGTCACTCCAGGCCCTGGTCAATAGTCTCTCTCCAGCCTTGTAGCCCCTTCAGGTCCTGGAAGACCACAATTAGCTCACCCCTTCTCTTCTCTGTAAGGCTTAAAAATACTTGTCACATTCCAAATCCTGCCTGTCCTACTAGGGAAGTGAGGAAACAATTGCAACAAGTAATATTTCTTCCCTTAGTCTGTACCAGAAGTATCTTACGTTAGTGCAGACAATGCCAAATGCTGAAATCCTACTTGAAAAGACTCAGTATTTTTTTCCATATGAGTTTTTCAGGCCTGAACACTTCAAGCACATCCCAAATAGCACACAATAATCCCTGGGAAAGCACATCTACAGGCACATCTTGTCTGAAGCTGTAAAGAGTCTGAAAAGCAGCAGAGTCTCCTCCCCTGCTAAAACTCATGGGGCACAAGAAACCACAAAATTCACTGATTTTGAAGGTACAGAATTGAGCCATTTGGCAGTAACAGAGGTGGGAGCTGAGCTGGTTCCACAGAAGACACTTCCCATGTGAAAATCCCCAAAGAATCCTCTTACCAAAGCTGTATAGAACGGGAAGAAGAAGAGAATTGCTTCCAGAGTGTTCCTTTGCACAAGGACATTTGAATCCAGTACTGACACACACAGAGACTTTATCTGTGAAAAGAAAGCACAATAATGTTTTACTCCAGAACAACAGTTAAAACTACAATCAAATAATCACAGGAAGAGTGTTCAGTCTGGAGGACAGGAGCTCAGGGAGGACCGTACTGCTCTCTCCAACTCCCTGACAGGAGGTTGCAGTGAGGTGTGGGTTGGTCTCTTTTCCATGTCCCAAGGGAAAGGATGAGAGGAAATGGCCTTGAGTTACACCAAAGGAAGTTCAGGTTAGATATTAGAAATAATTTTCCCCTGCCAGAATGTTCAGGCCTTGGAATGAGTTGCCCAGGGACGTGGTAGAGTCACTGTCTCTGGGAATGTCCATTTTCCCCTGATGTTCAGGCCTTGGAATGAGTTGCCCAGGGACGTGGTAGAGTCACTGTCTCTGGGAATGTCCCAGAGGTATCTGGGTGTGGCCCATGGGGACATGATTTGGGGATGATTCTGGTGGTGCTGGTGGGATTGGATGATCTCTTCCAACCTTGCTGATTCTCTGCTCCATTTCAGAGTAAGATGCTCCCCTGAAGTAACCACATGAAGCAGTTTCAAAACCTAAGCCTTTCAGCCGTGGTAGAGTCACTGTCTCTGGGAATGTCCCAGAGGTATCTGGGTGTGGCCCATGGGGACATGATTTGGGGATGATTCTGGTGGTGCTGGTGGGATTGGATGATCTCTTCCAACCTTGCTGATTCTCTGCTCCATTTCAGAGTAAGATGCTCCCCTGAAGTAACCACATGAAGCAGTTTCAAAACCTAAGCCTTTCAGCCTCTTTCTCCGTCTCTATTTTTAAGAACATTTAGGAGCAATTAGAGTCATCCTAACTTAATCCAGAGAAGCCACAATCTGCTGGTAGAACATGGCGGGTTCCTTGAGGAGTATCATGAACTTACTGTGAGCTTATAATCAGTGCCCAGCATGTACTTCTGCTGCTTTCCAGAGAGCTCCCTATTGATGTGACTGACAACAAAGAGGGAAGCAGGGAGCCTGATGGATGGACTGACCAGGACACTACCCCAGAGTGCTCCATAGAACACTTCCTGGCCCATCAGCAAGGAGAGCTTCACCAGCAGAGCATCTGTCCTGTAGGG